TTTTAAAACTAACACAGGCTTAGATTTTTGAGCTATTGTATGGTTTCCGTCATCCATTTCAGGGAGCATTATTAATCATATTGTAAATGCTGTAACACGATCTAACAGTTATAGTCTAGAAAAATTGTATTTACAGGCATACACCATGGAACACATGATTTTAGTAATTACTTACATCAAACCTTCTCAACTAAATTCCCCATAGAGATCACAAAAAGAACATTTTCGATCATGATTCAATGGTGAAATTTACAGATTTCCGTTAGCTTAGAAACACACTGACTAGTTGACTTGTAATTTTTTTTTGAATGTGATCCTTCAAATAAACGATAAAACATCATTCTGAACAAAATACTGTGCAAACTAACTCAAGATTTAACATCTTAGGTGGAGACATCACATCATGAAATGAGAGTGGTTGTTCATACATTGTGAAAGAAATTAATTCACTTGCTTATCGACGGTTAATTTATGCCTTGCAAACCCTTTATGGTTATTATTAGGTGATAAATTTGAGGTTCTTTCAATGGCCGGTTATATTAGAACACTACCAAAACTGATGTTCCATAAACTATAATATGGTCAGTATGACTTTATCCTAACGACTATAACAAAAGATACTTAGTTGTTTTTAAGTGATTTCCATTGATTAGGATAGTACTCGTTAAGATCAATTGCCAGGGTGGTTCAATATAGGAAAGAACCCAAAGAAAAGTAGTGCGTGCAATCGGTATATAAACCAGCCTGATCTCATGCTATCATTTATTTGCATGAGTATCTAGGTATGAGCACTTAAGAACCAAACAACGTGATTGGTTAACTGTTATTTTTCGCTCTTGAAGTCTCGTCACTTGTATTCACTGTTTTCTGGGTGCTTTTGTAATTTCATCTTAACTTATAAGTTGAATAATTACTATATTAAACTCGAATACTAGTACCTTTCTTCTTCTCCCACCCACTTCTGGTTAGCTCACTTAAACAAATCATTTCAGTTGTATGTACACTATCTTTACCTCTTAATGAGCTTCTTTTAAACTACTGAACAGTAAAATATACAGTCCCCATTATCTGGTGCTAACTGATTCGATGCATCTGTTTAACTTCAAAAGTAACATCACTGACTAGAATCTAAATATGAACTCAAGAACGACATTTAAATACCTTAAACTCTTACATCATATAACACTTTAATATGTCTGTAGGTAATAATCAATGAAGAATTCTCTATTAGATATTAGAAGTCAGTAGTAAGGGAGCCACCGGCCTCGTCTGAACGCCTGTTACGGAGGCGTATCTTCAGTCTTGAAGAGACTTATATTACCCCAGATACTCGAACCCACTAGTCACTTAGCAAGTGACATTACTGTCAGCTACCATTTGCTGGCCTTTTCCTGTTGAACCCATTGTGACATAAGCATAAAGTTATCTTTCAGCTAAAACGTGTGATATGTGATGGAAAATAATGAAATATTCATTTATAACAATTAGTTCCTTCTACTTCTTCTCATTGTTTTGTCAAAATATTCCTTGCATAGGTGAGCAGAAGCTTTGAAATCAAATATTCATTGTTTGTGCAAAACATACAGCAGAATATATTAGCATAATGTTGGAAATACAAAACCCACTCTAAGCTTTCCTCATATTTTTTATAGCCCACCTTGGTTCCAGTCATAGATGATTATATATATATATATATATATATATATATATATATATATATATATATGCAAGTTCCTAAAATCGGACACTTGTTCAATTAGTCGTATATATAGTTCAGTTTTAGTACAAATCAATATGACACACTAACTAGGCAAAATAAAATCAATCAGAAGGTAACTGTCACTTAATAACTTCACTGTGTATAATCTCATAACTTTTAAGCATATATAAGCAGTCGTTTGTTATCATTTTATTTACATTGAAAAGTACTTTGTGCAGTGTTTCAGCAACAAAATGCTACAACCACTGGATTTCTTTTGATAAATTGAAAAGATGAAATGTGCATAATCCATTTCAACGGAAAGGATTTGTAATAGCACGAATATCTTAGAGGGAAAGTTTCTGACTTCAGCAGTGATTGATGCCCCCAGCCAAGGTTGCCAATGACTCTCTGTGATTAGTGCCGACAACCATGAGACCCTAGTCCTAAGCTTCCTGTACGTTGACCCCGAACATGGTACAAGCTCACTGTGACTTCAGATTACTTAGTGGTCGCATTTTTTACTTGATCAGTAGGTGTTGATTAACACAAAGAACCTAAAAGCTACATTTTTCGGCCCCATAGGCCGAATTATGTACTATCTTTACTAATACACAGAAATGCGTGGTCGTATGTCACTAATACTCTTCAAATCCTAGTTACACCCTGCTTTCAGGAAGATGCAGTTCAGTCTTCAAAATAAATGCCTTTGATTCTTAGGAGACTATTTTTAATGCAGAACCGTACTAAACGATACTAAACTTTGGACCTCGGTTTTTGATCGTTTGACATGAGATCGAGGTTTGTGGTTGTGTTCGCACCACAAGTGTGTTTTTGTTTTAAAGAGTAAACTTCTTGAATCTGATCTGCCGTCTACGATCACGCAAAGACTTCCCTGGATATCAAGTATTTTCATGTAACTTTAGTCCATGACTTCACCCTTACATTCTGCAGAGATCTATGTTTATTATGCCAGAAAACTTATACCAACGATATGATATTCTAATTCCACCAGCGTTATCTAGCTGGAAACTTCAACTGCACGGTCCTTCAGATTCAACATATAAAAGCTGGGGAAAATGACTATCAGCCACCTGAAAAACCAGACAATCTTTTTCAGTCAAGCCATTGTGTTCACCTCCGAGATAAGGTTTGCTTCTAAACTGAGTTCTGAAATATCTGGTTCATTTAAAGACTGAATCAGAATTAAGCTTCTTGACACAACATAAACTACATACTGATAAGGCTTAAAAGGTAAGGAGGATGTACAACTGCTGAAAGGGATGTTGGATCTGATGGTGAAGGCTCAAACGCTAACTGAGTCATATACTGAATACATTTTGGATTGCTTAACAACTTTATTACAGAACAAAGGTCAAACAAGTGAGACGGAGTAAAGTACATTACAACTGCCATATTATCTATGTATAAGGCTTTTTCGGAGCATCCCACATAATATTAATGGTTTACAGTGGCTAGCCGTGGAATCCAGGACGCGCGTTCAGCCCTATTTGGGACTCGTCAGCTGGATACACCTGCCTCCCAGTGAGTGACGTTGTTCCTATCGGGACTCAAACTCGGGCTCGACCGCTTCAAACGCCACAGCATTACCCACTAGACCACCGATCCACGATAGCCACTTCTTGTGCGATGGGTATAGTACAAGCAACAACACTAATTCCACATAATACTCTATATTAATGCAGCATTTCAAACTAAAAAGTTCATATGGCTATATGTCGTGACTTATATGAGTGGCAAAACTATTTAATACCTCAGATTCATATATAATTACTATTTATTCAGTCACAGAAGTAGTTACCTTGTTGGACTATGAATGGCATCTGGTACATAGTTCGATGATTTTGGATTCATCCAAGAAATGTAGAGATTTCAGCAAACCATCGATGAGGAACTGAATGAAACTGCTTGTATTCAATAAATCCTTTTTTCTAATGGTCGTTCACCTGAAATGAATGTAAAGTTACTACTAACCCCCATCTCACTGCTAAACGCCTTGCACCATTAATTGATAAGTATTTCTACATTATACTGTGCATGTTTATACAGATTGTTTTCGTTGAACTTCAGCTTTGGTGATAAATGCTTATGAGTCAAGCTCGGACTTCAGTGACCCTTTTCGCAGCCATCATGAAACTATATCTGGCAACCCAATAAGAAATCACCTCCAAATGAACCTAAATATTGGTGTTTCAATGATACAGAATCATACCATGCAATTTATGTTTGACAGAGTCAAACGGTATTATTTAGCTAAGCTATACCTTGAGCACAACCACACAAAAAAATTGGGACGAAGTATTTTTTTTTTCTAAAAACTAACTCAAGTGGAGAAAGATTGATGACCGAATATTTGTTTATTGAATCAACATCAAATACACAGAATATGCATCATCCAAATGCTGCTACCTATATCACAGGGTAGAATGAATTAGAACTACCTGAAACATGTCTCAGAGCTATGCTGTTACCTTGATATGACTATGGATAATAAATTCTATCAAAACCATTATCCAGTGAGTAAAACTGCTCAGCTGTGAAGTGCAACTACTCAACAACCTGAAATGGAGTTGCAAACTACCATATAGCTGTGGCTCATTGGTTAAGGTAATTGATTTTCAACCGGTGTGCCACGCGTTTCACCTACTAAGGTATGGGCAACCAGATAGTACTACAACCCCCTAAACAATAGGTGTGGTTCATTGCCTGTTACAAGAATGTACTCGTGGCTGCTGAGTGCATTTTGGTTTCCCACTCTTAGTTTTATTCATATTAAAATAGTCATATCTAAAATAAAACTGAGAATCTCCTGTTCACAGGTTTTTTCAACAAAATTCACGTTATATTACCGTATTTAATTTGGTTTACAATAAGAGATCTATGGACGGCATTTATTGCAATAGGGTTTCTATAAACTAACTAGTAACCGAATGACAGTAGTTCTGATAATCTATGCTTTGGTCTCAGACGAACTAAATGAGTTATTTTGATTCCGGTTTGCAATACTAGTAAAACATTTCTCATCTTACACCCTGTATCCATGAAGAAAGAATAAGTTTCTTCTAAGCTTAGATGCTTCTGTCTGTTTTTAGTAATAAATAAGGAACCTGAATTTTTAGCGTGTTCTGTATTTACGAAAGAACTTATGGAATAAAATCTATGTAAATACTGACACTAAGCAATCATAACTAATTCTAAGGAATAAAATCTAGTCAGCAGATATATGGTTTTGTATACTATCTAACCACCACAATTGTTGCATCTTATCCCACAATTTTAGACCGAAATAACAGCTCCACTGTTCAAGTTTTCACACCTTTCTACGAATGCCTCAAGTCGATTTTGTAAAGTTCCTGGGGAAAATGATGCAGTAAGCTATCGTCTTTATCCAAACAATCCTACTCTGCTGACAAACTGTAAGACCATGAATAACCAGCATACTTTAGGAAATTCCAAAACTTTATCAACATCTTCTTATGCACTCCTATCCCCAATGAATGATGGAGGCAGAATGAACATGTGCTCAAGTTTTAGTTCAATGCCAAGAAGTAACTCAGAACTTATGGTAGAATCGTTGTCTACACGTAACGTTACGTTCTCCCGTATCCATCTTCCAGAATCAATTGCTATTCGACTGAATACCAAAATCTGCAAAAAAGAGCACGATGCTGAAAGTAAATGCATCAAAATTACTGATAACAAAGAGAAAGTTATTGCTTCGTGTATGATAAACACGAATAGTCCGTTAAATAAAACACTTACAGGTTTCCAACACTTCCAACTTAAGCCTATTGATCATCCTGATAGAATACTTCCACTAGAGACGAAGTGTGATACTACAGGATTCAACCATCTGGTATTCCACCAACGTCTGAAGGCTACTTTTGGTATACTAGTATTTTGTAAGGTAGGTTTCATTTGTTTTTCGCTTTGATTTTATATTGAAGATAGCAAATCAAAACCACATGCACGTTGTTCCTTTACACTAGGACCTTTTTATATGAAGACTACTGATACCACTTGTCTGCCAAAATAATCGTTATAGCGATAGAGGTTCTAACCTCCTACCAACTGGTCGAAATTCAAATGACCAGTTCAACCAAGTGCAGTTCCGCAAATATGAACGTGGTATAGTTTATGTTATTATGAGTTGAACAACTATCAAGGATCAAATAGTAATAGATACTTGCTTCATAGAACCCATGTGCCCCCAACTATACGGCATCTGAAGACCATTTTGAATGCTTTTCTAGTAGCCCCATTGGAAAAATTGACAGACACTCCCCTCTCTAATTTCACTGGTTATTGAAAAGTGGTTTGTATTGTTCAGAAGTGTCTAGTCCATTGTCCGAAACCTTTTTATCAACGTATTTCCATCAACACTAAATAAAACGTTCAATCAAAAAAGCTAACTCTTAAATTTATCTTGAACACATCAATCAAGAAGAATATTTTCCCACCTAGAAATAGTTTTTCAAATATACGATTGCAAAGATATTGTCACCTATATTTGTTTCGCTTCAATACACTGAGGTAATGCACTACATGGTCATAAAGACTTAACAATACTAACTAATGTCATTACACCATTTTTTCCATAATTTACCAGATTTATCAAAACGGTCATTCTTGTTACTGCTAAATTGAATCTAAGCAGATAATAACTATGTGCTTACTTACAAAACTAGCATGTTTCAACTAAATTAAAAAGTTTCATATCTATATATATCCTAATATAATTTCCTGTTTATCTGCAGGTAAGTATGAATACCTATGTACCAAAATCCCTGGGTGATTTAATTGAAACACTAAGTAAAGAATACGACAGTCGATCAAGAGGCAGATATTGTAGACAACAGACAGAAAATCAACAGCATAATGCCAATCGTTCGAAAAGTTATGTACAATTAAAACGACAAGAAAGCTTTCGAGAGAAACATACTATCAAACAACCAGTAGTGCGTTCGAATTCCTTCACTTATAAAGAGTATCATAAAAAATTTAAAAAGAATGTTGTTTAGATAAATATATGTTGGTATTCATTCTCCTGTTGCCATCAGTAATAGAAGCACCATCGCTACTACTTTCGTTATCATTATTATTATTATTATTATTATTATTATTAGTATTAGTATTATTATTATCATTATCATTATTATTATTATTATTAGCAGCAGCAGCAGCAATAATAGTAAATAACTCTACTGCAAACTTCTTGTTACTAACAAATAGCTCGTTATTCAAAAAGTTGTTCAATACCCTTTGCTTTATTGACACAACCTATTGGCAGTTAGTTTGTACAAAATAAAACGAGAATTTGATCCACATTTTGGATTATCAAGTCAAATATCCTCCTTGATATTGGTATATTTTATTATTTTCTTATGAAGAATGTATTTTAGTGACATAAATTCCTAGTCGTCATATTTATTAACTTATAATAATTACTTTTTTCAAAAACATTTTTAAGAAAAACTTATTTGATTTAGTGTACATATTCCAAAGATGACTGTTATCCTTTAATATGCTGAATACTATTGTGCGAATAACTCGCAAACCATATTTTTATTTTACTACTAGGCCATCAGCCTGTTATGGTGATACATTAGCTTTACAAAATACTTACTCAGATTAGCAAAAGTATATGACCTCCTAGACTGAGACTAATGAAGTGAGCATTGATCCAAGACACAATGATTGAAAATGTGATGTGTGAAATTACACGTTTGCAATAAAAAATTACAAATACGCACTTTGTTTTCGAATGAACTACTGGTTCACTAGATAACTGTTATGCATTCATTGTAATTTCTAAAGTGGAAAGCAAACAGAAAGGTATATCAGTGTAAAACCTTAGATAGAAGTGCACGACTTCAAGTTACTACATTTCGAAACAGCACACAAAGAGGAAATGATGGGTTTTGAAATGAACAAAAGGAATACGAGACTAAATAAAGTGGATCACTAAAGACTGATGAAAATTTCCAAGATGCAAAGGACTGAATACATCTGATTAGCTGTGATCGATTTTGCGTAATACCACTAAGTGACATCAACCACTGATTCATAGCATCTCATAGACTTCAACCAGCCAACTCACACCCACGTGGCTCAGACTAGCAGTCAGATAACTGGGGTGCTGGTTTCATCTCTTGGTCTAATTACCCTTAGCTTTCTCCCAGTCTAATCCTACTTCGGGTAATGCTGAACATAGAGAAGAATAATGGCTAGACATGTACAACATATGCCTAAGCTACTTCAGTTCACAAAGTCTCACCTCATCAATCATCCAGCTTTCATTACCTAGTACTTAACATCGCAGTTTGGCCTTGCTTATGATGTGGTTACACAGAAGCCAACAATACTACAAAGAAACTAATCACCGGTAGTATGTAGCTTTTCCATAAATTTTTTGGCCTTAAAGACCATGTATCATTATGACGAAGTGGATGAACTACATAAAACTCACTTTCTGACAAGTTAGTCAGATATCTCATCGACACGGTTTAGAAAAGTAAAGCTCAGACAGTGCCTTTGTATTTGCGATTATCCTACTGAAAATGGTGCGATAAATAAAATAAGGTGGTTAAGACATTCTCTATCCTGAAACAGATAGTTAGTACAGAACAGAGTAGGAACACATTCTGATCTTTAATCGAGATATATATAAGGTGCTGTGTTTTAGACACGTCTTCATCTAATGCGACTATATTGTCTGCATACTGTAAACAAACTAGGTAATTTACGAGCAGTAGACCAACTTCTGAGAAGTAAGTGGTGTCTTTTATTGCACTCATTAGTCCACTTGCATATTTGTAGCAGTGATAATGGTAGGCATCCTTTGTCGATACTCTTGATTTTTGCTATGTAAGATGACAATATTTATACGCTCTAATATAGCCGTCTAAGTTTTAGTAAGCAACCTTAAATAACATACATATTGCTAGTTCAGCACCCAGACTCCCCTACAACTTTCGACCGGAGTCTATGGCAAAAACATGGTGTCAGACTTCTGTAATTTATGATCTGGGACTTGATGAAGGGTAAAAATGTAATCAGTACAGTGTATTCATCCCTGAAACTCTAATGAGTTTCTCGAGTCTGTTGTCCCTCAGCTTCAGTGTAGCAGTGAGGTCACAGAAATCTCAGTTATTATAACCATTAATTTCTGATCGTTATCCTAAGAGCCTCTAGAAGACAAACCATCAGGTCCTGCTACCTCATCTTGCTGAAGGCTAAAAACTTTTGCGAAAGTTGGAAGACCATAATTTACACGCCATCCAGGCTGAAGTTATGTATCAAAGAGTAAATATATCTATGCCACTGTGATCGATTTTCAGTCTCTTCACCAAGAATCACTAACCATTGATCCCTATCACCTCGAATACCCCAAACAGGTAGTCCACACCTCCCCACATGGCTACAACCAAGAGTCAGAGACTCAATGCACTGGTGGCATATCTTAATCTGGTCATCATGAGTCATCTTCCAACCTTTTCCAACTTCTGCGAGCACCACACATTGTGGCAGGCGATGGCTGGGAATCCGCAGCACATGTACAAGTCACCATCAGTCGTTAAAGGTCCGTAACCTTATCGACTGACATTTTCAGTGTACTTCACCTAACCTCAACATTGTTCACATGCTGATTCCACCTAACATGAGCAATGCTAAGGCGATACCGGTGGTCAAAGTGTCCTAATATTTTGCAGTGCAGCATATTCGCCATTTGATAAGCAGTTGGAAAAAGCGAGCGATGATCAACATTAAATGGACCTATGTTCCAAAATTTGCTCAAGGGTAAACACATCTGACCTATACACCCTTTCAGGTCTGAAATCTGTTTTTCTGGAGTCCATTGTTCTTGAGTTCCAGTTGGCCTTCTGATTACTATGGACTCTGCGATCTTGGACACGATATTAGTAGGACTGATTTCCATGTTTTTCACTAGACTTTTTGTCTTGCTTATAAACTGAAATGATCAGTGATATAGACCAGTTTGGTGAAAATACCTCTAGTTCCCATAAGCCAAGTGGAATAACCGTTGCTCCACTCAGTAATTTTATACCTCCTTAAAAACTTCAGGTTGAAAACTGCCAAGCCTGCTGCTTAGCGTTGTTTCAAGTTTGAAACAACCTTCTAAACTTCGAGGAGTGTTAGAAGATTAACATCAACACCCCATTCAGGTTCGGGCTTATGCCGAGAAAATCAAGCGCGTGGCTACAGGTGAGTTGGACTGTTCTTCTGAATGTTTCTACATTGTGGTTGCACATCCTGAGACGTTATCACGAACACATCCTCCTCAGCAATGGTCTTGTTAAACACCATCTTCTTGTCATTATCTTTAATAGGCCTAGACAATAACCTACTATTAGTTAACGCTGTTGAATTCGCCATCCTTTCACACTTAGTCGATTTGCCTTTTAGCTGCTTTCGGTCCTCATTGTGGTCTGAAATAGCTGGAATGTGTCTTCTAGCATCAATAAGTTCGAATGAAGTTGTGACGATCCACTGACTTTTACTAACCGTTTGATGTGGGTTACCAAATGTGCTTACCACCGTTTCCATAAGAGACTGTATATCAACATACCATGATTCATCGGAAGGAAAATCGCTGCCATTTCCAGACATATGCTTATCTACATTCTCCAGAAAGAGAAACCAACATTGCTTTAATTTCAGCGGATGACAAGTGAAGTAACGTCTTCCTTTACACTTGAAATTAGTGTTGGCCATAAACAAGCGATTGAAAAACACGATCACCGTTGCCGATTCGTTTACGTGGAATATCGTAGATACCTAGAAGATGCCTTTCTGATTGACTCAGCTTTCATAATTGAGTGACGAAGTCACCTGCTAGCATTGTAGTGGGCGCTGCTGATCAGAATGGATATAAGTAGTATATGTTGAGATGGCGGCAGAAATCATAGGCAATTACCAGCAATGGGTAAAGTTTCTACCCAGAGAAACGCAAGAGACAATGTGGCTGTTTTACGAGTAAATCGAGATGGAAACAGAAGAGAAAATGAAGCACATTGTGTAAATGACTATTTTAGTGGAAAGTGTACAATATTTCATCACTACTGTACAAGGCGTCAATAATAAACATACTTCTCTGTGTCTCAGTCTCGTTGTTTCCAATAGTATGACCATATGTAAACGTTTTACTGCATGTAGCGAGACTGGCAGATTATGATCGAATTCATTCTTTGCATCATCCGAAGGGTAGTCGGTGGGTGCAAAGGAGAAGATTACGAACAGGCGTAGACTAGTTTCACGACCCTTCCCAATTCTTACGGATCTTTATAGTCAGACAGCACGCAGATCGTTGCTAACTAGTTTCCAGGCAAAAAGTGCGTTTTCTGCTCTGCAACTTAATGTTACCCCTGCACCAGCAAATCAACAAGAGCCAGTCACCGAATCTCCTTATAGTGGTGGAATAAATTTAGCAGATTCATCACACTGTCCAGGTAGGGTCAATTGAATGACCACATGACCCCGTATGTGCGTCTCTGAAACACAGAAAACATTCATAGTAAGAGACACATTAGTTCGATTTGGTATTGTTTAGAGGTTACGAGTTCAAATGTGGAATTGAAAGCGTGGTTTAGGGAAAGTAGGAAAATCCTTCGCTGCTCAAGATTGCTATCGATAGCCAGAGAGGGAAAGAGTGAGGAAGTTGTAAGGCGATGAATTTCCGCTGCCGAAAGTATAGAGAGAAGAGGAAAAAAGGTAAAAGAAGAAAGGTTATGGTTAGTTGAGCGTCGTATAGTGCTAGAAGCGTGCTCATTTGTTTGAAATCCTACAAGGTGCCTGAAGAAGAAATCTGATTAGTTTTACGTGAAAAAGAGCCCATGCAACACGTCATTTAGGCCTAGATACTCAACCTTTTTGAGATTTCAATGTGCTAACGCCTGATAGGGAAAACTGTATGCCACCAGCGCTGAAACACCGCAGAACAGGGAAGAGTGCTCTACTTCAGAGGCGGACCTTTTATAACCTCTCTTCCCCATAAATAAGGTAACACCTGTATGGTATTACTGGTCAGCCATAGAAAACACCTTATTACTACCATACCTTTAGCTTTCGAAGACGTCAAAGAACGAATGCATCTGCGCCATTGTAACCGACTTTCAGCCGTTACCATGAGTCCTCAACCACTGTTTCCTATCGTCTCGGAGATTACAGTTAGGTAGTCTGCATCATGCGACTCAGACCAACAGCCAATGACTTCAAGGAATATTTTCACTTCCTGTTTTGGCCAACCTGAACCCCCTTCAAACCTAATCCAACTTGCTCTAGAATTACACGTCGAGATAGGCGGTGGCTCGATATGCGTAACAAATATCCAAGCCACCTCAGCCGATGAAAGTTCATAACCTCATCAATCGATATACCTGTCTTCCCTAGTACCCTTCGTCTGACCTCAACATTGCTCACACGGTAATTCCCACCAAACGCGAGAAATGCTACGAAGACACTTATGACCGAAACCCTGTGACCGCTTCTAATTTCAATGGCCATACCTCACAGCCGTAAAACAGGACAAAACGGAATCCAGCATAATATACTCGTCCTTTGACTGATGGTCACATATCCCGACGGCGCTACAGATGACACAGGTTGGCAAATGCCAAACGGGCCTCCTGTATCCGAGCTGAGATTTCGTCATCAACCACTCCGTTCGTGCTTAAGGAGCTGCCCAAGTAAGTGAAGTGGTCGAAGCAGTTGCAGACCAGTCCTGGGGCACCATGTTACATTTGACAAGTGAGAAACGCATACCAAACACACTCAGATTTCCGCTCCACGCATTTAGAAAACCTCGCGTTTTGCCAGCATCACCCAGCAAGATAATATCGTCTGTATACTCCAAATCGAGCAGATGACCTGCAGGGAATAGATTAGTCCCTGTAACGTCTAAGATACTTAAGGTAGTGTCCATTAATGCGTCTATAACGAGGCTGAACAGGAACGGTGATAGTGGGCATCTCTGGTGGACACTACCCCATGAACCTTTACACCGCTGCGTGACCTTAATTAGGAGGCTTTCATATGTATCACACACTTGCTCGGTAATCCCTTCATAGTCAAACACTGCTACAACACCTCACGGTCGACAGAGTCGAATGACGCCTTCAGGTTAAGAAATATGGCAAGTATCGGCTGCCGGTAAATATGCCTGTTCCAGAACCGGTTTGAGGGTGAATAATATGATCGATGCACCCCTTCAGTTATGGAACCTGCAGGGTTCTCGTGGGTTTGTTGTTCCTGAACTCCACTTAAGTGTCGGATTACTAACAATTTTGGACACAATATTAAGCAAACTAATTCACAAGACTTTTCTCCTTTCGTATATACTGAAATGACCGGTGAAGTAGGTCAGTCTGAAGGCACCACCTCTGATCCTCATGAACTACCTAGCATCTCCGTCACTTTAATTGTTAATATCCCACCTCCATTCTTGAAAACTTTGGGTGGTAAACTGTTAGCTCCTCCTACTTCGTATTGTTTCAGGACCGATACAGCCTTCGAGGAGAGTTGGAGGACCGACATCCACGTCCCATGCAGGTTCAGGCTGAATGCTAGGCAACTGAAGCAATGCTGAGGACCAGTAAAACTGTGCTTCAAAGTGTTCTACCCAACCTCATAGCCCCCTATCCTCAGACGTTATCAGCCTCCCATCCTTTTCGGTGATGGTTTCACTCACCATCGCCTTCTCCTTCTTCTTCCCAGAAACCTTAATAAACTAAAGTAATTACCGCCTATTACACAACCCTGATGCCTTCTCCATCTCTCTCGCTTTCACCACTCAACACTGCACGCGATCAACAAGAAAACTCGTGGCCAATTCACGTCTAGGTTGCTTCCGCCCTTCGCCGTGGTCACACCCAGCTAAAATCAGTCCTCTCGCATCAATCAGTTCAGATGAGCCTGCCCAAATCAAACTGGTCAGAACAAATCGTAACAGACAATCATCGTTGTTGGTTCGTTGATACGGGATTCCGTAAATACCTCCAACATGTCTTTCACATCGGCTCACCTTTCCTACTCGAGAGTTAAAGTCACCTGCTATTGTGACTACATTTCAACGTTCATCTCTATGTAGCCAAACTAACGGCTTCTAATAGAATTCATCCTTTGCATCATCCGAACTGCAGTCGGTGGGTGCCTGGGCGGAGACTATGAATGGGCACCGCCTAGTTTCACGATCCTCTCTAGTTCTTATTGATGCATTCAGACGAACAATATATAGCCGGTTGTTGACTGGTAATTCAGCCGAGAAGTACAACTCGATGCTGTCTAAACTAGCGAGGGCACGAGAGCTAGACATTGGGTCTTCTGGTGCTCGTAAGGGGGATTTTGAAGATTCACTAGTATGGCTATGTGAGGTAAACTGAATAACCACACTCGAGTCCTGCACATGTGTCTCCGAGACAGCATACATCCATGCCTCCAGAGTTCTGAAAAGAGATGTCTGCTGTCTGATTCGGGATAGGATTCGGATGTTAAAAACTACTACATGAAATCGACAGCCCGGTCTTAGGAGACTATGAATGAGGTTTCAGTGGTGATGGTTGCTAAGTGAGACGTCGAGGAATTCGTCAAGAAGTGAAGTCAAAGAAGGAGATAGAGTTGAGGATAGGTTATTTCTGAACGGTTCTGGTCGATGCACCCTTTCGGATATGAAACCTACATGGTTCTCTCAAATTTGTTGTTCTTGAGCTCCACCTAAGTGTCGGATAACTATGGGTCTTGGACTGTTAGCGGACGACACTTCGCAGCTACTTACGCCATGAAAGGCAAGTTCTTTTTGAGGTACCTGGAAAAGTGTGACCGCAGAGCCCATGGAATATCTGCTCGAGGCCGGTCACACACGGACTTTTGGCAAGTATTAGATTTTGGTTTTTGCTTTCGAACCCGACTATGAATCCCTGTTGCAGGCATCGGCATGCTAAGAGGAAGTGAGGGGTGCTATTTTGGGGGCAAATGTTTTCTAATCCTTTCTTCCCATAAGGAAGGCAGCATCAGCGTGGTGCTGCTGGTCATCCGAGAGAACCACCTTAGTGTTGTCACACTCCGTCCAGTGAGCAGTACGACGCCGTCTTCCAGTGCAGCAACTTACACTATGATGGTAACTGTTTTTTGTCTAACTACTACCCAATAGGCCTTTCTGGTATGGTAGGACCTCGAGGAAACAAAAGTTCTACCAGCATAGTTCGTCGGGTCATTGTGATATACGAGCCTGACTACCACGTCAAGGTAGCACCCATCGATCGGCTTTTCAGATCCACTTGCTCTTTATATACTTCTGTGAAGTGTGGCAACTTGAACAGATGCACTCGTGTGCAAGGCTGTTCATTAACTGTCTTTTCTAGCAGGACTGTCGTCTGCGTACTCCACGTGAACCATATGCCCTACGGGAAGTACGTCAAGCGCTGTGAAGTCAGATGTACCTTAGGTTACATCCACTAGCACATTTACAACAAAGTTGAATAACGGTGACGGTGACACCACTAATCGTCGTCAATTCAGAAGACAACTATCGATAAGCACTTACACTGCTGCGTGAGTTCGAGTAAAGAGCTTTGAGCAGCGCTACATGTCTGATACTTCTTTCAGCCATAATTTGCCACAAAACCTAACAACTGTTTCATACAGCACCGCGTATCCCGAATATGACAGAGGCCAGAAAATCGATGACTCAAATAAAAATGAAAACATATGATTGTAAATAGTTTATCGAACAAATAAAAAAATATACGTATTACATATCATCCGCGTAAGCAAACGGTTGGAACTGTTATTATCCTATTCATCAGACCTTCTAAAACATCCGACACATCCACCTTTTTTCATTGAAAGGATTGTCTTTGACACGATGAATAAGAGGGTCTGAAATAATGTTTTGTTGACAATGATTGATTAGGTCTAAAACCGTCTGGCTTAACCGTTGTCTTTCACGGGCACAATGAATCTTTAAATCTCGAACCTCACGCCTTCTTATTTCAATTTCATGTGACTTGCTAATTGGAGGCATTAGAGATCAAATATAATCTCAAGTATCCAACGACAATATGAAACGAAAGCAATTAGTAACAATGAACGACCTACAAGATTGGGATCAAAAGCATAAACTATATGTAACCATCAAAAAATGTGCAACAAACATAATCTTATCTTTATGAAATTTGTTCATCATCTGATATCTTCTAAACTGAATCCATCGAGTGACGGTTGACACTAGCAAACAATGAATTAGTCCCATATCATTTTTTTATTTGATATATAAGTGATGTAGTATTATTTACTTTATGACAATTCGAGCATCATATCACTGTCACGATTATGAGTAATAACAGGCTAGAAACATCACAAAGTAATGCAGAATCACTTTGTGCTACATCAAATAAAAAATCCAACGTGGGATTACATTCTAACACAGTGCACAAGTTCTACACTTGTTGACATTGGATGATGATTGATGGTGGAATGAAAATCCGGGTCATGAGAGGATTCAAACCAACGGCCGCCAAGTTGCCGGCTAGGTGTCCTACCAAGTGAGTCACGATACCCAGCTGCTGACCAGATCTTAACTTTATTTTAATAACCAAGGATTTTGACCAACTCCCAAGTGAATATGTGATGCCCCAGGAGGCAAACGCATTGGGTGCACTTTGACATTTTGGGTAATTCCTGAAATAAATGGTATTTCACGACACTAGCCCCCATGAAGTTAATAAACTGCTACGAATTTCATATACTACGACTTGGTGTCCACAGATGGAAATGCTGGTCATGAACACTGCTTGGTGGTAGTTTATACCCTTATTGTACAGCTTTGGGTGCACAATTTGACAGACACTGAGTAATTAGGGCGGACTTTCAACAGCATCTAACACTGATAGTACGTGCGTAGAAAACTGGCAGCTTTTTTTTATCTCTCACGTCTAGTTCTTGGAGCTTGATTCATGGTGTTCGATTTGCTCCTGCAGTGGACTAGGAAATCTTTTCCGCTTTCAGTTTGGGTGAGTTCTTGTGGGCTAGTAATAACAATTTGTGGAGTGAATAGGCAGCTACAGGTTACTGGGGAGATTACGGGACTGTAGTGACTCCTGTCAGTTTAGGTGTCTGGATAGGAACAACAAAATCGCGGAAAGACGTACATGGGGATTATCCAAAAAAAGTAAAAGTAGATAGTACGGGGTCTAGCTGCTGGAAGAGAGTTAGTAGATAATGTAGGTGTATCAACAGGAGAGGTGGCGAGTGGTAGGTAAGAAGGAACCAGTGGTGGGCTAGTGAGGTTAGTAATTCCCTGAGTATTTTCTCAAGACTAGTCTCTTGAAAGTTGGGGGTGCTGCCATATTGAAGACCTCCAGGTGTAGCAGTACATATGATTCAGGGCTATAAAAAACAGTTTAGAGGTGAGAGCTGTCTACGCAGAAAGTGCGAAGTGATGTTTGTTCTGCCATTTCTTTTTAGTTACCCAGCCAGCATTAGCTTCGGGCGTACAATGTGAGTTTTGAGCTAAAACCAAAAATTTTACTTTGGGGGCATATCGGGCGACGCACGATATCCCCGAATGTTCCAAACCTTTTTCCCGAAAGCGTCAAAAGTCACGAAGTGTGCCCTAAGTTTCTGTAATGAGCCCAAAGTACCTAATGTGTCTGTAGTGCGCCCGAAGATTTGTAATAACCCATATCCAAGTGATGAGAAGCCCTAATCCGTAATATTTTGATCCGAATATTTGGCGTTTATGTGCTATGTGTTTATGTTATAGAAGTCAATAAAATGTTAGCAGCCAAGTGAAATATTTGTGAAATTTAGGGGGAATATCCAAAAGTTGCTAAGTGCGCCCGAAGTAGCTTCGGGTGAAATCCAAAATTTCCAAAGAGCGCCCAAAGTAAATGCTGGCTGGGTAGGGCTGCTGTTCAGGGTGTTTGAGAAGTTGAGACCAAAATCATTTCCCGTGGATACTTTGATGATAACACGGTTGCTCATCTTGTATTGAAATTCGGGCGTCTTTGCCTCACGGTTACTGATGTGCATTACTTCGAACTTTTCTAGGGTGAAGCTTAAGCCGTTTTCAGACGACCAGACTTCAAGCTGCTGGTCATTTTGGAGTCCTGTACAGCCAACCTACGTATTTACCTTGGGATACCTTGGGATACCCCTGACGTCTATAGTTTCGTGTCCTACCATGTTCTGATGACCTTGATGTAAAACTGCCTGTCTTTTATGCACATTTTGAACCAAGAGAGTGGAGGTCCTCCTACACCAGCTGACACGATCACATGAAGGACTGTGAATGGGTAACTGTTAAATGCTTTAGCTAGGTCAAGAAAAATAACATGTACAGCTTTTCTGTTGTCTCTGCTAAAATTAAAGTCGTCACAGGCAGCCAGCAAGTTGGTGGTAGATGAAAGACTATTTACAAAGATCCGGAAAAACTGGGCTAACTTACGAACCTTGGGGCCAAAACAGTCGCTTAGTGACCTTGGAGTTTTAACGCCTAAACAGTTCAATGGTGGTTGACGGAACCTTTTGCTTAACTGTCATCTGTATCTGAAATCCCTGGATCATGAAATCTTGTCACTCAAACTTCAAACTCCGTGTTGTAGAATTGGTGAACTGCGGTTCTTTGAGTTCTACGTCTATCTTATTGGAATACTTCCTGAGTTTGGAATGGTCACAATTATCTTCCCGGTTCTGAAAAACCTGAAAGGATAGAGATACGATTAATAAATTGACCTGGTCTCAAGTTAGTATTATTGCACCTGATTTGGGGAAAGCTTCTGGAGTACAGCCCATCGGTACCGTAGGACTCGAGGTGTGCGTCTAGCCTCCTTTTAAAGGTATCAGGGGATGCGGCTGTAACAACTGCTAAAGGGAGGGAATTCCACAGTTTACAGACTCTAACTACAAATGAGTTAGCACGGATCTTTGTACGTTCTCTCCTATGCTCTATTCTTAATGGGTGACCCCTCAGGTCGCGTTTCCGACTAGAGCTTAGAAGGGATCTGTTGGGATGGAGGGGGTTATGGGCGATGTGGTACGTCATCATCATATCCCCTCTGATCCTCCAGTGTTGTACTGGGGGCAGCTGAAGAACAACTAAGCGGTCTGGGTACGGTTTGTGCCGTAACCCAATCACTTTCTTTGTAGCCCTTCTCTGTACCCGTTCTAGGATGACAATGTCCTTTTTCAAGTATGAGGACATTACAAGAGAATTTTTTTCTAAATGAGGACGAATGTACAGAGCATACACTGTGGTCAAAAGAGAAGGATTTAGACACCCTAGGGTTCGCGAGAGAAACCCAGGATTCCGTGAGCCCTATTGGCTGCAGGGAGACAGTGAACTGAGGCTCCCAGTGTATCATTTAGTGTAACTCCCAGATCTTGTTCCATGTTAGAGTGACAGATATTTATTTCACCTAGAGAGTAGGAACTGGGACTGCCTTTATGTTCGTTAACTATCATAATTCAACACTTCTTCGAGTTGAGGGGAAGCAGGTTCTCTGCAGTCCAATTAAGGATTTTTGCAGGGTACTCCTGGAAGATCGAAATATCCGTTGGTTCCTGTATTTCCCTTCAGATCATCGGCATATAATAGTGAATGTGAATTAAGGACACCTGGTAGATCATTGATAAGAACAAGAAACTGCAGTGGGCCCAGCATAGAACATCGGGGAACACCACTCGGCATCGGGAACCAATTATATAGAGAGGAGCCAACTCTGACTGCACCCTGGTGTACAGATGATCTCTAAGCCAGATTAATAATTTTCCGTGTACACCCATGAGCTGGAGTCTCTTACAAAAGATATCATGATTCGCCCTGTCAAAGGCCTTAGAAAAGTCAAGTAGACCAAAGTGTATGGGCTTATTCTTCTCGACAGAGAGTGTCCAGCTATTCCAAGCTATCAACAAGTTGGTGTTACATGACCTTCCTGGTAGAAAGCCGTGTTGACAGTCGTTTAGGATTGATTTCTGAAGTAAGTGATCACGAAGTGAGTCAGTTATGGCTCTCCCCATGACCTTCGCAACTAAGAGATCGGGGAGGTCGGTCTGTAGTTAGAGGCGAGTAATTTGTTTCCACCTTTATAAATTGGGATGGCAGCCACCAGTTTCAAATCAGAGGGTAACCTGCCTTCCAGAAAGGAGCATTTGAAGAGGTTTGCTAGTGGGGCGCGCAGAACTTCAGCACACTCTTTGAGTGCCCTTGGGTGAATCCCGTTGATTCCTGGAGACTTATTCGGGTTCAGTTGCTTTAATATTTCCATAGTTACAGAGGGTTCAAACTCTATATGGTTTGGTCCCTCTGTAATACGGGCGTCCGACAGAGGAGGGGTTTTGTTTTCCAAATGACAGATGTTTTAGAATTCATGAGCTAGTAGGTTTGCAACTTCGGAGTTGGAATAGAGAATCTCCTTTTAATGGGGTCCTGTAAACTTGGTGAACTGTTACTCTTCTGTTTCATTAAAGAGTACGGTATCCCATGACTCCCCTCCAGGGTTCCACAAAGTTGTGTCTGGTGGTTTATTCTGTCATTTCTGATCCTTACTGTACACTTGTTATGGATGTCTTTATAATTTAGCCAGTCAAAATGGCTATTAGTGCACCTCCGTAGATTCCAAGACGACCGCTTACGCCGTATTAGTTTGCGTGTGCTTCACTTAAGCCAGGAGGGGTAGAACTTGTTAGTTCTTCTTGGGATCAGAGGAGTATTGTCTTCCATCGTCTGAAGGATTATATTCTTTAACAGACCCCATCTAGCATCAAGATCCAGTAGGTCATAGTAATTTAGGCGAGCGGAACCTTCTAGATCTTGCCGAACCTTCTCAAAATCAGTTCTCTTGTAATTCCTAACTAGAGGCTGATCGGAAACGGGTGGCTCAGATACAGAAATAGTGAAGGAGATAACCGCATGGTCACTCAGGCCAAGAGGGCTGAAAATATTCAAGTTGCTTACCCCAATGAACTGGTTTGTGAAAATATAATCTGCTCGGGGTGCCTATCGTCAGGCCCACAGCGAGTGCA